AACTGTGGAACACACTTGTGCCATTATCCCATGTGGGATGTGGGCCAGAATAAAAATGTACAGTGGTGGCCCACATTTGGGTGAGTTCTGGTTTACTTGATGTTGGTTGACATTTGGCAATGTGTTGGCTTGGTTGTGGCCCACTTCTGGCAAACAACTGTGGACCACACTTGTGCCATTATCCCATGTGGGATGTGGGCCAGAATAAAAATGTACAGTGGTGGCCCACATTTGGGTGAGTTCTGCTTTACTTGATGTTGGTTGACATTTGGCAATGTGTTGGCTTGGTTGTGGCCCACTTCTGGCGAACAACTGTGGACCACACTTGTGCCATCATTCCATGTGGGATGTGGGCCAGAATAAAAGTGTACATCGGCCCACATTTGGTTTAGTGCTGGCTGATTTGGCCTGTTTTTGGTTGACTTTTGGCATTGTGTCGGCTTTGTTGTGGCCCACTTCTGGCATACAGGAGCGGACCTCCCAAGTGCCATCATTCCATGCGGTATGTGGACCGGATGAACATGTCAGATGTGGGCCAGATATGGACCAAAAGAATTTTGCTATCTGGGATCTAAAAAAAAAAGAGTTAACATTTAAAATAAATGTATTTACGCTCAATTTGAGAGAGTAAATAAGATGATCTGCCAATAAATTGAGTATTTTCCCTTTAAAATAAGTTATTTAGATATTATGCACTTGAAATGTAAATATTTTAAATTTAAATTGTCTTATTCCATTGGCAAAGAGTCTCCCCTGCTCAGTTCAAGAAAAAATGCGTTTAAAGTTGATTTATTTAGTGTCAGGTTTGGTGGAAGTTAGTTGAGGACCCAAATGTAAAGATGAGGATGCAGAGATGAGTTTTGCTGATTTAATTAAGGTTCCAAAGGCAGCAGAGGGAAAACAAGAAATACGTAAGAACTCAAATATAACTAGAATAACACAAAATGGAAATAAAACCAATGAAAACTCAAAGAGAAAACTTAAACAGAACTAAAACCATGACACTAAGATTTCAACTTTTTTTTCCTACAGTGTAGCGTAAATTATTTGTAAACTAGACCATTTGTTGCTAGCATTCTATTAAAATAAAAATATTTTTTAACATATTTTAATTAGCTAAATCTGAGCATAATATTAAATATATGATTACAGTATGAAATCATAGAACTTAAGTACCGACAAGGTGATTCCAAAAGATGTATAAATGCAGTGCTAGCATTTTGTAAGAAAATAAAAAGATAAAGAAAAAGAGGAAGAAATAATTGGAAATTGTTACTTTATCAAAACCCCTTGTAAAGTTCACAAAATAAAATGTGGCTGCTTTGAATCAATGCCGTTAAGGGCTGGGAGTTAAAAAATGTTCTATAACATAAACCTGCAGGGATTTAGAGGAAATGCCATAAAATGATTGCTGTGTTCAGAAAGTTCCTTGGTAGCATTTCACCAACAGATTAGGAGATTTTGTCCCCATATACGGAAGGAAACCTTTAGTGTGGAGCTGAGATACATTTTTCTTACTGTGCTTTTAAGTAAATAGAGGGACTCTATTTCTTAGCCTCTATTTCTGGAAAGCTTACTTTAGGAGGTTACAAAAGGACACCCCCATCTACTGTCCATCCATTTGAGCACTGGCTGTTGGGTTAATGGGAAATTGGTTGGCTAATCCAAATGTGTGGAATAGAGACCAAGGATCTTTGGAGGATTAATTGTGTCTCGCATGTGGGGCTGCAACTATAGATTATTTTGGAAATTGATTAATCAGTCGATTATTTTTTCAATTAATAGTCAGATAGCCAAAGTTTCCTTAAAAAAGATTCTTTATTAAATTAAACCAGGTGAAACAAAAAATGTTCCACTTAAGGAGTTCTAGATAGAGCATATTGACTAAAGAAAAACTTTTTTATTCTTAAATGCAAAATGTTTTATGTTTTTTTTACAATATTGATATAATTACTGTTCTAAGTGGGTTGCTCTGTCAACTAAAGGCATATTTTAGAGTCTCTATACTCCAAATAACAATTAACCGATTACTGAATTAGTTGAAGATTATTTAAGTAATCCATTAATTGCGATGAATTGTTTCAGCTCTACACTCAAGGTATGTAGTGGGTCATGATGGGTTAGGATAACTAAAAAAAAACAAGAGTTGATCATGTTTCCAGATATGGTCGGATTAAGCCAGAGCTGCCCTTCTACTGGTTCTTGAGTTCAGGGACACAATGTTCATGCATAAAAAAGACGTGTGGTTTGCAAACTTGGGGGAAATATCTATTCTATCTGAATATGGTTCTCCTTGTGTCCTTAAAACATAACGTTTAGCATTCACTGCAGCAATCCGGAACATAGGATAGGGTCAGTTCCCCTATGGTTGAGGCCATGGCTCCTCTTTTTTTCCTCTACATTGCTGTCTTCAGGGCCCACTGCTCTTGCAAACCTGAATTAAAGGATTGGATTACATCCTCTCTTCTCCAGAAGCCTGTTATCCACCCATTACAGTATATATCCATAATATTTTACTCAGGAATGTGGCATAAGGGAAAAAACATGCAAGACAGCTGTTGTGAGGACCAGTTGTGAAGAACTCTGCTAGGCCAGGGTTCTCCCAGGATTCTCCCAAAGCACGGCTTGGAGAATAATATTGCTGGAGAGATCAAGGTCTGGGTTCTCAAGCTGAACCAGGTTCACCCTGTTCTTATATAAGTGGAAGACAATAGACAGATATATGGACACGTGTTCATTTTTTGTTGTTTGGTTTTTGTTATTGCTGCCCTATGGACCAAAGTCTAATTAATCAGTTATAACATATGTTATGTGTCACTATATGAATGTGAAATGAGGTTCTAAACGTATGTGTTCTAGCTTAATGTGCAGAAGTGTTCTTGTCTACAGCGTGTTTGTCCTCTCTACCTCTCCTGAAAATACTTGGCTTTGTTTCTGTGACAAAGAAAAATAAAATATGTTCTTGGAATTTTCCAACTTTAAATAAACCTATTTATTGGCTGTTTTTCTTTTTATATTTCTTGTGATATTGTAAAAAACAAACAAAAAACCCCCCTGAATTTTTGTACAAAAAGCCCTTGATTGTTTTCATCCCGTGTGTTTTTTTCCCCCTGACAATTCTCAGTGAAATTGATCTATGCAGACAATCAAGAATCAAGAACAAAATGACAGAATTGTGCAATATGCTCTTCTGGTGGTCTTTATAAGTCTTTCCTTCTGTGAAAGTGGTGTTTATTATGTCATTATAATAAAATGAAAACTCATTTTTTTGCATCTGTTTTCTTTATTGAAGCATTCTGTTTTTTTTTTTCTTTTCATGGTTAAATGCTAAATTATGCCTTTTCATTGCTAAAGCAAGTCATTTAAATAGAATTACCATTAGCATTTGAGTAACTGAAATAATATAAAACACTGCAAACAGAAATGAGATGAAATCTACTTTAAAGATATTTCAATATTTTTTTTAGCTGGAAGGAATTAAAGTGTTGATTGATTTGAAGCTCAGATTATGATTGATGCATACTGTAACCCTGAAAAGTATTAATTCATATAATAGTAGGCAAGTTTTTAGGATGTAAAAAATAAGACAATCCTGCATCATTTTAAATCCTGTTCCACCTTAACAGGCATTTATAAATGGCAGGCATTATAGAGGTTAGGGTATTCAGGTTAAGAAGCACTAATGTTTAACACTAATGTTTGACACTAATGTTTAAGTGTCAAGTGTTTCCACTTGTGACTGGGTAGGGTAGACAGACAATTTTTACTTAACATTTAAAGTAAAATAGATGGATTAGTGCTTTCAAATTGATCATTCTTGTACATTGTTTTATTATTTTGTCTGTTTAAATTGTTTAAGAATCAAACCTGAAGGAAAATTCCTTATATTTAAACCTGGCTGAGCTCTAAATCATGTTGTCTTGATTGTATACAACAACACTCTGTGAAAAAGGTGATAAATAAAAATACAAGAAAGAAACTGGTCAGTCAGGCATCAAGAGGTTAAACAAACACTGAAACGGTTGAGGAATGTCTGCCTAGAACTGTTTTGATTCTAAAGGTGAAACAATATCTTACTTTTTTTCCCCATATGAATTAAAGTGAGGAGTAATGAAACACAAAGTGAAATTTGTTTATATTTATTTATATCTTCTAACGTTGTTATAAAGTCTAGTTAAAACCTTTTTGAAATATGAGTTGAAATGTTAATCTCCAAATTTGACAATCAAGCAAAAGAAATAAAGAAACCAATACAAATATGCTGGTGAAGAATCTCAGTCATCCAAGTCATAGTCATTCAAAAAATAAAAAATAAAAACAATCCACTGGACTTGGTTTCCAAGTTTGATGATGTTTCGCTTCCTATCCAGGAAACTTTTTCAATTCAAAATGTCCGAAATAGCGTTAAGTTTGAGGTTTTATTCAGTAGCCCATAAAACAAAAACAAGGGTTTGATGGTCTACTGTATCAAACCTCGAACTCAAGGCTACTCCAGACATTCGGAATTGAAAAAGCTTCCTGGATAACATTTGTTAAAACCTTTCAGAATTTTTTTTTTCTTGATAATGCACTTTCCAAAAATAAAAAAATAAAAGGAATAGACTATCTTCCTGCAGGCTGCTATCTAGGGATACACCTAGAGTGGGGACCAGGGGTTTCTATCAGTCTCAGATAGATCTATCTCAGATAGATAGATAGATAGATAGATAGATAGATAGATAGATAGATAGATAGATAGATAGATAGATAGATAGATAGATAGAAGCAATTAAAATAAATATAAAAGGCACCTCAGTTGTAATATTTATATTTCTCTCTGTGATGTGTGAATTCAACCACCAGGTGGCACTAAAGCACTGGACTGCTTTATGCATGACTTTAAAAAAACAGACGTAGAACTCGAATCTACAGTACTGCCGCACCTCCCCCTCCCGTTGGCTGTCTCCCTCCGCCCCTCTGCCACCGCCTGCTTGTCAAACCGAACCTCCTCCTCCGCTTACTGTCCCCTCCCAGCGGCTCTCACTCCCTTCGCCACTGCAGTGAAAGCCTCGGTTACGGAGAGAGACAGCGAGGAGAGCCTGAAAGCTGGGTACAAATCCAGGACTAGACCTCAGAAGAGGCACCACTACCGTGTTGTTGGTTTTTTTTTTTTGGTACCGTTCCCCCCCTCAGCTCGGCGGCCCGCTGACTCTTCCTGCTTTTCCGTTCACATCGCCTGGATTTCATCATCCGACCCGCAAGATGGTAAGCAGCAGAAGCAACGGCTCCTATTTTCAGCCTCCGCCGACTGGTAAACACACCAGTTGGCGGGCCTGCGGTCTAATGTGTCGAATAATGTGTCGTTTTCAGAGCTTCTTTTCCGCCATGAGTGTTTCGCTTTTAGTGAAACGGTCGAGAAACGTCGAGCTTTGGCGAGGAGGAAACGCTTTTCTTCCCCACCTTTGGCTCCAATACCCCAGGGCTCTGCTGACAGTAGCCTGCAGCTTGTGGCCCAGATATTTCTCATCCCTTCTCTACATAGCCCACGCTCTTATTAGCAGCCAGGGCCTCGTAAATTAGTTTTAGTGACAAAAATACACGCTTGTTAGATCTGGGTTAGCGGTTAATTCTGACCCACCTAGCAGGAAAATGCACCGACTACTCCTGTAGCCTTAATAATGACCAATATTTCTGTACATATAGGAAGCACGACTCTGTGTGTGGAGTTGCTGCATTGTATAATCACGCTGCATATGCTTCGAATGTTAAGCTGAAGGCGTTTTAAAATCAATTACGTTTTTTTTTTTGGAGGGGGGAAGCTGATACAGCAGGCCATAGCATTGCTACACTGCCACACACTGCCTTGTTGTAGTAACTATCAGGCGATCAATCTGCATACCTGAGCTCATTTGCATCATCTAAGGCAGGGGTCTTAAAACGTTTTCCAGGCCAAGGGCCCACAAACTGATGGCCCCCCTATTTGTAGATGGTGTTTGAAATTTGGTTAAACCAAACTGGTCCTATAGTCTCTCTATTACAGATAGAATCCTGTAAAGAAAGTAATTTGGCCCTGGGATTGTTAAGGTATTTCGGATTCTGATTCCTCATTGATGTGACAGGTGTTGTGAATGAAATGTGCCCTGCTTGAAAGATCAAATGTGTGTGTATTGATCATGGGCGGTTCTAGACGGGGCCCAACAGGGGCCAGTGTCCCTGTACTGAAGACATAATACTCAAAGAAATCTTAATGATGATATGTGCTGGAACAGACATGGTTACTGATAAGTTCTTTGGATCTATTTCATTTTTTTTCTTTACTAATTCTGTTTTACTAATTATTTAAAAACAATAAGGTGATAGTTTTAGTGCTAATGAGATAGGATCCCAGTTTTCATCTGCTAAATGTTTTTTTTCTAAACAAGTTGCTCTAATTTTTACGGCTGAATTTATCAGTTTTTCTTGAGTTTTAATTCAGAATTTACAGAAACTTGTCATTTTAACTTGAATTAAGTCAAAAATATGTAAGATTATGAATGCTTATGGACCTAATAAGAAAAAAGAATTTTAATTAAACCTAATTGAATATAAATTTCACTTCATGCAGCTATCTCAATATATTTAAATCCCTTGCCCAGTTTTTTTTTTATTTTTTTATATCATGCTTTTCTGTTCCCCCATGAAAACACATTGGCCCCCTCCTGACCCCCTTGAACATTTGGTCTAGAACCGCCACTGGCATTGATGACTGAAAGACATCTTCTGCCTCCATTTATCTTTTTATAACAGTGTGTTGAATTCATGTTAATGTGTATTCAAAGACATTTCAATTAGTGAAAAATTGCAGGTGGGAATATAAAAAAAAAAGTCTAATCAACCAAAACTTTCATGACCCCCATGCAGTACCTCCGTGGACCCTCTGTTGAAGACCTCCGATCTAATGCATCGTGATCCAGAGCGTAATAAAGATATGTCATTTAAAAAAAAACAAAAAGTGTAATTGTTTTCCCAACATGACGTCAACCCAAAAAATGCTGCAAGATATTTAAGAGAAGACGATAATGACTGTGTAATAATGTGTAAATAAGGAGATTGCTTATTTAAAAAAATGGTTTCGAATTGAATGTAGGCCAACAGAAATGGTCTAACTGATAATTGCGATCAGGTAGGGCACCGGACATTTCGTTTTTAATTAATTTATCTGCAGGAGTTTTTTTAGGTTAGGTACCAAATATTTTTTAATTGGCTCAAATCTCACATAGTCATGTGAAATACATAAATGTTTTTTTTTTTTCCTCTATTCATTAAATGCCTTAAAAATAAGAACACAACATTTGGTTGGTATATAAAAAACAATCACACAGGTTAAAAACTGACAGGTTTGGAGTATGAGCTTTCATATAATTGTTAAACAATTCTAAGATTAATAATTCCTTTAGCTCCTTCTGGAAAGTAGCTCAATATAATTGAACTTTATTGATCTTACATTGGAGAACTTTACCTCTGTGGGCTGCCATTGTGGGGCCCCCAGGGAGCAGTGTGGGGTTAATGGTCTTGCTAATGGAGCCAGAGTGAAAGTCTATGGGAGTGGGACTTGAACTCAGAACCTTAGAATTCCAAGCTCTATGCTCTAACCACTAGGCCACCACTGCCCACTGGTTCAATACCAAAGTCAAACCGGCGGGTTCCTGATACAACCTTTTAATTTCTGATACAGTACTGCTTTACAGCTTTGAATATTTAAAGATAACAGAATCATTCATATTTTTATTGCTTATATTTTAGTGAATAATAATAGAAAATGTTTGATCAAGTAATCTTTCTCAAACAGAGAACAGTAGTCAACAACATTAGGTATGAGAAACAACGGACCCTTTTCTTATTAGCATAAAATGACAAACTTTAAACAAAAGTGGATAGAAGCAAATTGATTCAATGAGTGTTCTAATATAGTAGATTTTAAAGGCATGTTGATATATTCCACTATTAATTTTTCGGCTGATATTTGATCAATTTCCAATGACAATATTGGATCAGCCCTAGTTTATAGTTTTCATTTTTACACCTTTTATCTGGCATCTAGATCATCTAACAGAGAGTCAAATACTGAGCTACAAAAGTATTTAATTTTGACTGAATCATATTCAATTAAAGACATTTGGTTTTATCACACATTTCAAAATAACATCAACTAACATTTCAATAAAATCTGTTTATAGTATAATAACTGAGTCTATGTTTGGGGGATTTTAAGAATAAATATTCCAAAGTTTTTTTTAGATGTCAGCCTCAGGTCTGTCTCATTCATCTGTTTATTCTTCCTACTAAAATATTTCCCAGTTTAACTGTAAATGTTTCACCGAGCAGCCGCAGAAAACCAGTAAGATTTTTACACTGTTGATGTGTCGACCTTGTTCGTATTTTCATGGCTTTTACAGAAACTATCCGCGGTTGAGGTTAGCGATCTCATCATTTGTGATGATGTTGAGAAATAAGGTGTAGAAAAAATTGTCACCTTCCTCTTTCTCAAACATACCTGCCCTGAAGGTTGCACCATGGGAGAACTACCTTTTGCTCAGATTGTATTTAACTTGCCGGCAGATAAAGAGACGTTAATGTCCCACCCACTTCCTGTAGTGCATGGCAGTTATAAATAATTTTATTAGGTCTGTAGATATGATGCTGCGTCCACGGTTGTTTGTTGACATCGTTGACTATGTTGATGAACTACCTGTGCTGAGGTGTTATTGGTGGTTTATGACTCCACCTCCCTTTGGCATAAAGCTTCTGCCAAATCTTCCCTTCATTGGATAAAAGTAAATACCTGTACTATTTTTTGTTTTACTTTGGTGAAACTTAATCCCTCCATATTTCCTTTGCTATCTCATTCATCAGCGTTTGCAGATTGAAATTATTTCATTTTCTGGGTTTGTTAATGCGCTGCTCTAATGTCTTCGAGGCAATCGATGTGCCTGTTAGGCGTGGTTAGCACATTATTTTAAAAGGTGAATCAGCCAGGGGATACCCTGGATGCTCTGAGAAGATCCTCTGGTGTGAGTGGCAGATGCTAGTGTGACTAATGCAGAGTTCATTTTCTTTTTATGTTTATTTATTTTTTTGATAAGATAAAAAATATTGTTGTAAGTAACTCTTAAACTAAGGGATTCTGCAGAATGTGATCGACTCCAGGCAGTGGATTAGTCAGCAGGTGATCTGATTCATATCTCGACTTTGCTCTTTTATGACAGCGGTGGTGACATAATGCTCTTAGATCCCTCTGATAAGCCGTCTCTGAACTTGTCCTGCTTTGCTTCCGTTTAAGAATAAATGTCCTGTACTGTTAGGAAATAGTCCCAGGGTCGGTCACTAGGCCAGGAGAGAGAAAGCAGCCTGGAACATGTGCCTAAAATCAGTGACCTAGTTATGCTGGCAGCATGAATTTTGATTGCTGTGTGTAAACACTGATTGGTTGCTCTGTCAAAGAACCATTGAAGGAACTCTTTTCATACACATAATTTGAAAACAGCATAAGCTTCAGTCCTCTTTCTCAAGTTTCAGATTAGATCCAATCAAGCTGAAGGTGTACAGCCAATATATAAACCTGTTATGCTTGTATTGCTTTCCAGAAAAGGGGCCAAGTCATGAACTCTGCCTTTGAAAAAACACCAAAAGCCGTATGTTTGTGTTAAATACAGTCGTACACACCAAGCATGATGGTGTACTTGGGTTTTTTTGAGCCTGGAAAGCATTTCAACAGACATAAACATTATTGTACGCCGTTGCCATCAGCAGGCAGTGCTTACTCCCACACCTTTCAACTTTGCCTTTAGCTCCTGCTTCAGTGAACACCCACTTTGAGATTTGATTCAGAGCGTCAGTCTTCTTACCTCTCTTTTTGTCTGATTTGATTTATTTCCTCCTTCTTGTTAGACCACTGTAGCAACACAGACTTGCATGGCTCTATTACTTCCAATATTGATATCGTATCGCCAGTCATTTTGTTTCTTTTTTGGTAGATACAGAAAAACGCTTAAGTTCACCAAAAAAATGGAACAAAAGTGAAGTGTAAAACACAGATACACTGTCGTCATTTAATTGGAAAACCTTTGTGTGCAACCAGAGTGAGCTACAGTTGTAGGAATTCATGAAGTCACGGGTGATGACTGGGCTTCTCTTAAAGGAGAAATTCGGTTTTTTACACTTTTAGCCCATTTTCTGTAGTGTCCAGGATGAAATCGAATGATCGACACCAAAAGTTTGACAATTGC